TTTATTTTAGAGATATATTAGATTAGACTTAGGATAAATGTGTTCAAAGGTATACAAAAAAGAGAAAGAAACTTATATATGTTGTCGATAGAATTAGAATTTAGTCCAATTTGAAATTCTAATATCGTCTATAATTATCTCAGACAAAGTTAGAACTTCACTTTTGACCAAACAAAATTGAAATTTTTTTTTGCATGAACTGGAAAAATTCAAGAAAGACATACAATTACAGTATCAAAAAAAAAGGGTTATTTTCTTATTTTATAATATAGATTGTAACTGTCTGGAGGATAAAACTGAACGTATATTCTTATTGTCACTCTTACACCCGAAGCTTTAAGTCAGTCATCTCTTGATAAATCTAATTGTATTTTTTTCCTTAATTTATCAAATAAGTTATTCCAATGTTGTTTGGTCAATAGCGAAATTCTAATTTTATCTGAAATGATTATAAACAAAATTATAATTCCAAGTTTGTCTAAATAAACTTCGAGCATTAGACTGAATTCGAACTCTATTCATAACTTATATTCAGTAAGATTTATCTCACTTTATCGATCGATTATCTGCATGATTGATCTTTGTATTACGATTATGTAGACAATTTATGGTTTTACATATATTTTAGTGTCTATTCATAATTATGTTGTCGTATTTTTTTCGGTTCGATAAACATTAAATACGATAGATAGATCAAAGTACGAGTAATGGGTTGCGTTTTTTTCACACGATAGACTTCCATACTTGATAGAAAATGTTTCAATAGTATTCTATTCATCTGCCTTCGATTACGTATGAGAATGGAAATAAACGTCTATAACTGAATCCATTTGTCAGATGATTTATATGAAAATGTGTAACGTATGTATGTATGTTACATAAGAATATACAGATTAATAGATATTGTTTCACCAAAAAAAAGTTTCCCCTTTTATCCATAGAATTTTTTTTTTTGTATGTACATATTCATTCGAGCACACATTATATAAATAATAACGATATTCTTCATCAAGGCTATTCATAAATCAAAAAAAAAAGGGCGAAGAAAGGAATCTAGTAATAATAGAAGTTAAACAAAAAGAGGTTGAAGTATTTAAAGAGTTTAAGTGTTTCTGTAAACAAAAAAAAATCGATTACATATAACAAAATGACTTTACATTGAGTTACTTCCCATGGGTTTATTATTAATTGCACATTATATTAAGATAAATTTTTCTTGTCAAAATGTAGCTAGGGAGAGATAATTGACGTCGTACACATTTGTTTTCTTTTTGTCATTTTTCTCTATGTGACATGAAAATAATTTCTAAGCAAAGATGACAAGAAGACCGGTAGTGTTGTAAATGTACATAGAACAATTGATTGAGTTTCTTTTTTTTCTTCCGTTTTATCAGTCACGATAGGAGATGTCGGTCAATCATCTAACGCGTCTCGCCTTCCATTTTTTTATCTTGCGACTGACCTATCGACCACTATCACCCTTCTTTCTTTCTTTTTTTCTTCTTCTTCGTCTTTTCTATTTTAGCATTTTTCGTTCTGTTAACAACATCAACGATATAACAGCAGACAGAACGAGAAAAGTTCTAACTATTGACGATATTCTTTCTTGTCGACAACAAATGATAACAATCAAGTAAGAACTGCAGTAGTAAGCAAAGGCAACGAATAAGAAACGAACAATGCAAGAAAAAAAAACAAGAACAAGAAGAAATCGTGCTAATAACAACCATACAACTGCAATAGCAACGCATACTTCATTGTTCTGAACATTTATCCGTTGCAAAGTCAATGTACGTGTTGTACAAATATTTATAGAGTAAAAAAAGAAAGAAAGAAAGAAAGAAAGAAGAGAAGAGAAAAGAAACGTCTACATATATTTTACTTCATCAATAAGTATGATGATCATGCTTCAAGCACGTTGTCGACCAAAACGTTGATCCTCATCATACTATTAATCACATCATGTTATCTCAAAATCTCTTCTTTTTATTTTTATTCTATTCAACAATGGTGGAAATGGTAAATAATCTTTATGCTTATTCACTTTTTCTAACTTGTTTTTTCATCTAGGTAAGATTTAATGAGCACCATAAACGTCGTCATATGTCTTTGTCGACAATAAATCTAGTAAAATAATATTTCTATTTTGTCTCAAACAAAATAATAAGTCATACATTATTTATTATTTATAGAATTTAACTATCAATGCTGTCTATAATAAACTTAATCGACATGCATTAAATATAAATAATACACGTATAATTAGTATTGAACCATATAATAAAGTTTGGTTTTCAATTGTAAATGGAACAGTTTATGCATTACCATTATTTGGTGATTATTCAGGACCATTTAAAATTCATATTGAAAGTACAAATTTTATTGAATTAAAATTAAAATTTCATTTTTCACCATCATCATCATTATTTTCACCATCAAAACATCTTTTACTTGCTTTATTTAATATATCATCAATAAATTTTAATAATTCATCATTAAATCGTTTTTTTATTATTCAAACATTATCATTAGCATTAAATTTAAGTGATGCATTATTAACAATACATAAAATAAATGGTTCAATGATAAAAGTTTATTTTTCATGTGATTTATATACATCAAAAGATCTTCCTTATCAAATACAAACATTAATTAATTATTATTATTCTAAACGTTTAGAATTAATGACAGATTTTTCTTTACCATTAATTGAAATTTCAATTGTTCGTTTGTCCAAACAAATAACAACAACAACACCAATTGTTGAAATGAAAAAAGCATTTATGACAATGCGACCACATTTATTTAATAATCAAACAATTATTCCTTTAAGAAATAATCTTTTTTTATTTGATCAATTTTATCAACCACTTGTTATTGTTCCATTAACAATAATTTTAATGGGTTTATTAATTTGTACAATAATTGCATTTTGTCTTTGTTGTAATCGTAGTATATCATCATCATCAACATTACTTTTATCAAATGGTTCATATATTAATCCTAATACTAAACATTTATATCAAAATTACTCATATCAACAACATCGACAACAACAAGAAATTTATAGAAAAAAACATTATTTAAAAGATCAAAAACAATTTATTTCTAAAGGTAAATTATTTTCATTTTTTTGTATTGAAATTAATTCTTATTGTTTTTTTTTTGTAATAGGCATTCCTGTAGTATTTGCTGAAGAACTTGAAGAAAAATTAGAACAAACACATACACCATTAGTTATGCGAATTGAAAAAGCACAATTTTACAATGAACAACAAAAAAATGATATAGGAAAAGTCATACTTTAAATGAATATTTGGTTTTATTATCTGTAGATTAGCATGAGTTTTTGCTTTTTTTTAAAAATCTCATCTCATTGAAAAAACACTAAATATTTTCATAATATTTCTTTATATTCTTCTGTAATTAACTCAGGTTTTACATTTTGATTGTGTCGGTACGAAAGAAAAATTTTGAGCTATCAAACAAATGAGAAGAATTTCTTTCTTTTTTTTCTTCCTTTTTTTTATAATTCTTCTTTTGGTGCTTCCATTATTTGAAAGTATTTTATTCTCTATGCATATGAATATTTCTACTCATGTACATGATATGATATTGTCGTTGTTGTTCTTTTTTTTTTTGTTTTTGTTGTTTCTTATTTCAGATATGAAAAGGATTATTGATAGTCTGTTTCAACAAACAAAGATTCATTTGTCAAAGATATGTTTTAATCAACAACAACAACAAAGATCAATTCAAACATCTACATATCATTTTGCTAGCGTTGAAGAAGTAATTTTTAGTTTTTATGTATCAGAGTTCGGAATGGGACGAAAAAATTGTTTGATGGGATCAATTGGTTTGTCCCATTCTATCTTATGACTTTCAAATAGGAATATGTGGGATCAAAATTTGAAGTTTTGCCAAGACCGGGACTAAAGATTATCTTTTAAATATCCTATGATTTTAAACGAATTATGTGATATAGCATACCAATCAGAACATCATTCGAGAGAGATAGAGAGATGATTCCAAAAATGCTAGTTGTTGATGAAATAAATCAAAACGGGACCAAGAATTTGCACTCACACATCTCTAGTCCCAAAAAAAAACAATTTGTCCAGTATAATGATTTTTTTTCAAGTCTTGAATCGACTATCATTTTAGTTTCTTTCGATCTGTAGTTAATATCGTATTTTAATTTTCATACTACTCATGTACATTCAACTTGTTTTTTCAAAAGCAGAATAGTAGAGTTAGGTCTCTTTTTGTAACGGTCTTACTTTTCATCATTTCATGTTTTTTTTTCGAAATTGCTCTAAATTTCTGGATTTTTTTAATGTTTTATCAAAAAAAAAATTCAAATAGAAAAAAATATCGGATTATTCGTCAAAACTACAAAGAATCAGAGCGATAACAAAAAAATTAGAAAAGTCAAGACTTGCAATTGTATTTGATGTAGGGTATTACAATTTCGATGTACTTTAATGAATATGATATTGAATTCATCGGAATGCATTTAGATTCGTTTAAACTTACTGAACTCTAACAGGACTAAGGATCCGCTATTTATCTTAAAATATTTAAATAGTATTTCTTGAGTATTGGGCCGGAATAATATCCATTCATGAATTCTTAGTTTCTGATTAGTTTACTTAGTTTTCTCAGATTGCTAAAGATCGTTGGAGGTTAGAACCTATTGGATCTGACCCTGATCCGGATTCGGCTGATTCCCAGTCCAAAAACATTTTATCGATCGGATCGGGGCCCAACAAATTTTAATCAGCCGGATCTGGGTCCAAAAATTCTTGGATCCGATGGGTTCTATTAGAGATTCTTTCATACTCTAGTACAACTTGGTGGGTTTCTTCATATTTTTGTCGACTCTAACGAATTCTGTAATTGTTAAAATCGAATAGAATCTATCAGAATTTTCTATATATCCTTTGGTATTCTCTAAAATAAAACTTATAATAAATTATGTTGAAAATTAATTTGAAGTGAAGATTGTAAAATTTCCCTATGGTCATGACATTTTATCCAAATAATCAACGGTTACGACGAAAGAGTATTCAAAATTTTAAACGATCCCCGAAGCACACAGCACTTCACAAAATTACTGTTACTTTTCATTGTTAAACTTCTATAGAAATGATAAAAAGTGTGTACATTAAAAAAACTACAATGAGAAAGAAAGAAATGAAACTTTCTATTGAAGAAAAAAGTCAACAACGAAAGCATAATAAGCCCTAGTATCCATTGTACCTAGAATTCATATTTTATCGGACAAAGCTTGTATTTTCTAATGAGAATATAGAATTATCATCATCATCTATTTCATAGCAAGTAAAAGAACAACAAAAACGAAATGAAGAAGTACAAGATATGCCAGAATTAGTTCGTGATTTTCTTGATCCAGCTGAATTTTTTAAACAAGTAAAATCAATCTGTGGTATTAATTTTTTTTGTGGTGTACCTGATTCATTACTTAAAGGTATGTTGATAAATTTTAAAATTAACAAAAAACAAAATTCTATTTATTTGATTTAGATTTTTGTGCATATGTAACAGCAAATGTTCCATCTCGCCATCATATTATTACAGTAAATGAAGGTTCTGCTATTGGTCTTGCTTGTGGTTCATATATGGCAACAGGACAACCTTCATTAGTTTATTTACAAGTAAATATAAAATTGTCATTTCAAATAATATTTAAATTTTTTATTTTTAGAATTCTGGTCTGGGTAATATTGTTAATCCTATCATGTCTCTTGCAACACCAGGTGTTTATAGTTTACCAATGTTATTATTAATTGGTTGGCGTGGTGAACCAGGTAAACGAGATGAACCACAACATCGTATTCAAGGACCTGCAACACCTGGTGTTCTTGGTAAGAAAAATGATTAGCACAATCTGTGTAAGATTCAAATGTGAAACACAATGTAGCTGCTGTTGCTAATCACAGGAAGATAATCTACATATACAAAGTCTTTACATAACATGTCTGATCCGTTTGCGTCTACTTATAAGTCACTGGAGAGAATGAAAAGTAATCAGAATTTCATATTCTTTCTAATTAAATATTCAGAATTTTGTTTCTGGCTTAAAGTTAGTTCATTGAGAACAAATCTTTGATAGAAGTCAAAATTGACGTTTGTACAAAACACTAAATTAAAATGTATTGGTAAATATATTTGCTCATTTTTTAAACGTTTAGATGTCGTTGCAGAAAATTAAAAGTAGCCAGATAGAATAAAAATTACGTGCTATTTCTAAATGGTTGATTGGCTGTGAGCAAAACATTTGAACTAACCAAAAATTTTGTTTGCACTAAGCAAAATAGACTTTCTTCTGTTATTCATAACTTCTCTAAATGAGATTTTAGAATATTTTTGACTTTCTAATGTAGCACAGAATTTAATGTTTTACTAAATCATACATTAAAGTAAGCTAGAACTCATAAAAGAATCAAATTCTATATACACTTAAATCGTTGCTTTTGAATTTCTATATTTGGAATCCAATAGATTTCAATCGTTCGTAGTAATATGTAAAAAGAGGACATAAACTGAGTTTTATCAAAAATACAAAACTGCACTATACGAAAAGCTTTTTACAGATGTCACTTTGACCTTTGTCAAAAGCTTGTTCTCAATAGACTAACTTTAAGCTAAAAAAAAACGAATTCTAAATATATATTTGGAAAGAGCATGAAATTCTGATTCTAGCTTACTATTTTCAATTCTCTTCAGTGATATTTAAGTAGACGCAATAGAGCCCCTCCGGTTGGTCTTGGACTCGGATTCGAAAACTTTGAACTCGATAGACTCTACTCTAAACATTTCTCAGGCGACTCGTCTGAGAAATGTGTAAGGCACACTGGTCACCGAATACAAAAAGTCAGAAAAAAGTATCTGGTATCTTCGAGGTGGCTATTCTGTGTTCGATTAGATCATTTTATTGAACGCACAAAAGTACGGTTCGACCAGCTTCGAATCCAAAAATTTTGAACCCGACGGTCTCTAGCAAGGGGAAGAAGAGTCTAAGTTTTTATCCCTATAATTCAACACTCATTATAGATCATGTTTCCCAAAATATTGCTTATTAAAATTTTAATTGAATCTTTTATTTTCATAGCTGCACTTGGTATTCCTTTTCAACCATTGCCAGATTTTCATGATGGTGCTGGTCAAGCACTTGAAACAGCTAAACGTTATATGGAAACAGCAAAAGGTCCATATGCATTACTTGTTAAACGGCAAACATTTTTACCATATCAATTACCGAAAAAAACCGGAAATCTAGACGCTGAGTAAAAATTCGATTGAAATTCTATTCGAATGAATATAAAAAAAGAATAAGAAGATTTTTATTTATAGATTAAGTGTAACACGTGAAGAAGCATTAGAATGTGTTATTAATCATTTTCAACATCGTGATGTTGTTGTTGGTACAACTGGAATGCTTAGTAGAGAATTATTTGAACTTCGAATGAAACGTCATGATGGACATGAACGAGATTTTTTAACTGTCGGTGGAATGGGTCATGCATCATCAATAGCATTAGGTATTGCTATTCAAAAACCAAATCGAACTGTAAGTTAATTGTTTTATTTTAATTTTAATAATTGAAATAAATATTTTTTTTTAAAGGTATATTGTTTGGATGGTGATGGTGCTGTTTTAATGCATATGGGTGTTTTAGCAAATATTGCTGCAACTACACCATCAAATTTCAAACATATTGTATTTAATAATGGTACACATGATAGTGTTGGTGGTCAACCAACAGTTGCTGGTAATTATAAACAATTTTCATTTAGTCGTGTAGCTCAAGGCTGTGGTTATAAACATGTAATGATAGCAACAAATGAAAATGAAATAAATGAAGCAATGAAAAAAATTCGTACAATTAATAATGATGGTCCAGTTTTACTTGAACTTCGTATTAAAACTGGTCATAGAAAAAATTTAGGTCGACCAACACGATCAACAAATGAGAATAAGAAAGATTTTATGCACTTTTTACAACTCAGTTAAAATATTTTAGTTAATCTTTTTTGTTTTTTTGTTTCTCTTCTTCATTTTATTATTTGTTATTATCTGTTATTGTTGACAAAACAAAAACAAAATAATCAAAATCTCAATGAATATATATATACATATATTTAAACTGTTTGTTTTTTTTTCAGATGCATACTTCATTAGATGATAAAGAAATTACACGTGAATTATGGCAATCACGTTTACCAATATGTTTTATATTATCGGATGAAGATAAAAGTAAAATTAATCGGTCTGAATCACCAGAACCACTCTATTTAATGCTTGCACGTCAAAGTTATTTTCCATGTATTATTGAAAAACTTCATCGATATTATTCAACTTATTTTAAAGAAAATCTAAATGATACAACAAATTATGTTAATTTTGCTAATTTATGGCTTGAATATGAAAGTATTCCACTAAAATGGCATTATCCTATAGGAGTACTTTATGATCTTTATACATCATCACTTTCATCTACATCATCTTATCTACCATGGCAAATAACTGTTCATTTAAGTAAATTTCCTGAAAGTGAAATAATACGTTTTCTTGATAAAGAATCAATTGAAGCACATTATATGTCAACAGTAAAAGAGGCTGATGCACTTAAACATAAAGGACAAATAATAGGTGATATGCAAAAACGTGATCATAAACAATTATGGAATTCTTTATTACAAGATAAATATGATGGATTTTGGAATATAAATAATAAATTAATGAGTTATACAGAAAATTTACAATATTTTCGTTATATACCATTTCGCATTTATATCTTAGATAAACCATTTATACAAAAATTATTTTCACCATATGATATTGACGAAGAAAAATGGATGACATTAAATGATTTACTTCATTTTGTTTTAAATCATGAAGTACAATGTGAACAATTAACAAATGAAAAAAAAATTTTAAATACAAATATTAATGATTATCAAGTTATTATTCATGGTATACAACCATCACTTCAAACACCAATACAATGGCTTAGTGAATATTTTTCTTATCCGGATAATTTTCTTCATATATGCCTGATTGAAAAACGTTCATAATTTTCTTTTTTTTTTTTGTGTTTCATTATTTTTTTAATTTAACTTTATTTTGTATCTGTGTGCA